TGACGCATTACCCGGTTTCAGATTAAGGGCACACAAAAGGCAGACCTGCATTGTATTTTAAATACTCAGGCTGCAGCATCTTCTGAGAACAATTCCTGCATTACTTTTCCAAGAACAGTCACCCATGAATTTGCTTACTACTTCTGTAAGAAACCTACAGCAGAACTACATAAAATATGTTTACAGAATAAAAAATCATTTAAGAAAACTATGCTCAGCGAAGAGTTACATTTGCTTACCATGCATCATGCTTACCACAGTCAGCACTTCACTGAGTGAGAGCTCTTGTAAAGGGCAACTGATATCCCAGCCATATTTAAATCTTTTATTCATCTGAAAGGGTTCTCACCTACTATTTTGTATACATAGCATTTTTAACAGCTACAAAATGTAAAGGGACTACAAAGGGAAAAGGGTCTAACTAATTAGTGAGGATCACTAATGCAGATTCTATTAACTATGCTGCAAAGTTCCCACAAGAGCAGAAAGATGTATATTCACAGGCTTCCACTGATCCATTAGCAAAACCCTTAGGTGAAATCTCTCAGCTTTAACAGCCACATATTTCACATCTGGTTTTAGGTAAAATACGCACAGCAATTCTTTTGCAGAACTAATTATTTAGGTGTGCTGTTTTTTCCTGAAAACACAGCTTTCCAAAAGAAAATGAAAAAAAAAATCAAGAAATAACCAGAGGGAAATAGGGATAAATCATATAAAACACAATACGGTAGTTACATTACCATGGAAACTTTTTTACTGTAAATCTCAGAAGTCCAAAGTAATTAAATCTATCCAGACTGTCTTTCACACCTATACAACACTAGGCTAGTTTGGGCCATATGGCTTATAAAATAAACATACAGTGTGTTTTAAGTGGCAATGTTAGTCATAGTTCATGAGCAAGTGTCAAGTAATCTGACAAAAAGCCCTTTGAGCAATACTTTTTGGTGGAGGCACTCCTGACAGGTTCATCTCTGGTGGTATCGCCAGGCAGACAAACTGCCATGTCTAATAACATCATGCTTTCACCAATCCACACTGGTTAAAACCAGGAGGACTCTTGGTAAACATTAGTGAGTAGGAGAAATGGACAAACAATACTTTTCAGAAGACAGAGTTAAAAGGAAGAGGAAGCATCTCTGATTTTGGCTTGAATAAAATG